TTTCTTACCTCCTCTCTCTCTCTCTCTCTCTCTCTCTCTCTCTCTCTCTCTCAGTGAGAAATAGTCACTTTCATCTGCATTACAGTCTTCTACAATAACTATGCAAATATACGAGAAGGAAATCTGCTAATAGATATGGTGTGTATATTACAGTGAGTGTATCTTTTCTTTGATAGAATCTTCTCCAAGGATAAAGAATCAGTGTGTTCTTTCCTTAAAGAAAGTGTGAGATAGTGAGACACAGAAAGACTTTGATGAGTTCCCATACGTCTTTTAGTTCGCTCTTGGAAGCACTATCGGTGGTTCGTTCCATGTGTTGCCAAGAGCTGTGGATGGTAGCATGGTTCCCAGGAGCCTCCTGCTTAGCTAAGACCCTAAGCTCTGAAGCTACCTAGCTAGTTCGCTTGGAACAAGCTAGGTCATGAGACCACATGATCCTACAAGAATGCAGGGTACCCAGATGAGATGCACTGGCTTGGAATTTGCTTGTCCTTTCTGAGGTCAATGGATCTGAGTTCAATAGATGTATAGATCACTCGGTCCGCAAAGGCATATATGTTCTTCTTCTCGGATGCTATGATCCATTGAAGAGCATGAACAATTGGAAGAGGAGGTTGGGTCTTTGATGAACTGGTTCCGGAATTCCTGTTGATATCCACACACAATCTTGCATGCGGCACAAAAGAATTAATGCAACTCTAATTTCTCTCTCTCTCTCTCTCTCTCTCTCTCTCCTTGGAGAAAGGAAATTGTTGTGCGGTTCAGATCAGCAGGCGACGTCATAAATATATCCTTCCTCAGCTTTCAATCATTAAGAAAATAAATGCAGAATCTCTTTGACAGATTCTGGTCTGTGACGAATCACATTCCCACCTATCATTGCAATTAATGCGATCTGTACCATATTGCGTTATGGCCAATCTTGTACCGAGCTACCTGCTCGCTTCACCCACACTCACACAAATGGTCATCGCAGGTCGCTCATCTATTTATACCGACAGATGAACAAGACGGATTCGGATTTGTTCATATAGAATTCATGTCATTGAATGCAGCTGCTCAGCAGAAAGGCATGGCAGAGGGTGTGTTGCTTCCGCTGTGTCGTATCCTTTTTCTGGTGTCAGCGTAAGCCATGGTAGGAATGAGATCGAAAGATACAAACTTGAACAAGGAAAGACATGGTCAAGCTTGATATGTGTTCCTTATGAGCTTCTGGATCGTCAGTCATCGTTTCTTAGGCTTCACAAACTCGAACAAGGAAAGACATGGTCGTCAAGCTTGATATGTATTCCCTAGGAGCTTCTGTCGTTTCTTAGGCTTCACAAACTGGAAGAAGGAAAGACTTGTGTATGCCTTAGGAGCTTCTGGATCATCATCATCATCGTTTCTTGGGCTTCACATAGGAAAACCTAGGAGAAGAAGGAAGAAGCAAAGGGCAGGGGGAGGTGCGAGAAGGAGGAGACAAAGGCAGGTAGGGAATCATTGAAGCTTGAGCTAGGAACCCAGCATGCAGGATCCCAAGGAAGGGGGGAGGGGAGACATGAACTGGGAGTGTGATGTTTTGTGGGATTGATTTGCTGGGAAAGCGGGGCAAACGTTGCCACAAAAAAAGTCTGGCGTCGAGCAAACCCATGAGCTTGTTCGAGGGGACATGAGGCAGGATTTAAGGCGCGGTAGGAAGGCAGGAATCAGCCCCAAGAGAGAGGTGATTGGCATATTTGGGACATGAGCACAAGAAACAAGAACTAAACCCCCATTATCGGGAGCACATCCCAGCACAGACTATTCTAAACACCCCACCTCAGTGGTGGCCTTCTTCGACTTGATGATTACTCTCCCATCCCCATAGATGCCATTTCTCGAACCCCTTCGATTGCAGTTTGTGGTCACTCCGCCATCGTTACTGCTGATCTAACACACAAAATATAAGTCATATGCAAGCATGAAAACAATCGAGCCCTGCATAAACTACACAGAAAGAAGACAAGCCACAGCATGACACCATGACTTCCCCTCGTGGAAGGAAACAGTTTTATAACCCAAAGGGACATCCATTGCAGGAGTAGAAGGAAGGGGATACATCATACATTATAACAGAGAGAGAGAGAGAGAAAGAGAGAGAGAGAGAGAAATAAGGAAGATAATAATTAATGGTGCAACCGCCCTGGCTTTTATTATAGTTTATAAGCATAGAAAACTCTCGAAGAAGGGGGTTTGGGATGGGAAGGAGGAAGCTCACAAGGAAAGAGATTTGAGGAATGGCGAGCATCAACAGTTCCCTTTTGGGGTCACAACTACCAAAATCCCATGCAACGTGCAACACCTCCACCGTCTCCTCCTTCCAAGAAACATGAGCTGAATCTAGGGTTAGGGTTCCTACCCAAGATCAGATATGATGATGACATATGTGCTAAGATCTATTACCTTCGCTTCCCTCCCTCTTCTCCAACTGAGACCAAAAAGCCCTACTCGAATCATCAACGCACCACCGGAAGGAGGGAGAAGGATTCGACCTATTTGCTTTCAGCTTCCTCCCTAGGGCTGTTGCACTAATGCCAAGACGAGACTGAGAAGAGGGGCTTGTTCTGCCACCCCAAGAAAAAGGAATCCCTCACCGTGTGGAGCTGATACCCTTCCGATGGGTAGTGGAGGCGGAGCAGAAGCCGCGCCTGCGACAGCGCGAAGGGGCTGAGCGGCAGGTTCGTGAATCCTGCGCCTCGCATCAGAGTCTCCCACCGGTCGAACCGCTCGTGCCGCTCCCTCCTCCTCTCACCCTCCCGGGCGACGACGTCCTCGATCTCGCGTCCCAGCCAGACCTGCTCCACCGCCGCCCGCTCACGGCTCGTCGGTGGCAGCGTCGCCTCCAGTGACTCGAACACCGCCGTGTAGTAGTCCAACGCCTCCATGAATCTCTGAAAGAAGATGGGCGCGTTGTGGTTCGCCTCCCTCTCGGCGACCGTCACCACTGCAGGGTTCATCGCTCGAACAGCTTGAAGAAACGCCCTTAGGTCGCGGGAGTCGTCACTGCCACTGCCGTCTTGTAGTAGGTTGTGCAAGAATAGTACGCAGTTCACGGTGAGGATCTCGCCCGGATGGAGTCGGAGAGAAGAAGAGGTGAAGTCGGTGGTGGTGCTAGAGCTAGGGTCGCTGGTGGTGGAGGGGAAGAGGAGGGCGTGGAATTCAAATCCTAGGCCGAGAGAATCGGCGAAAGTTTGGAGTCGGTCGCCGGTGCGGCGGAGGACATCGAGGTTCCTTCCGGTGCCGGTGATGCGAATGGAAGGTGGATTGTTGGGGTCGGAGCGCTCCGATATGGCTTGGAGCAGCGGCGGCCATTGCAGTCCGTGGGAAGTGTCGAAGTCGAGGATGTGGACTTGGCGGTGGCCGTCGACGGCCTCGAGGATGGCCTGGTTGGCGGTGAGGTGCGCGAAGCGAAGGAATGGGGTGATCTGGTTGAACGATAGGTAGGAGGACTGGAGGGCCTCCGGAGAAGCAGCGTCGACGGAGGGGAAGAGGGGGTCGACGCGGAGGGAGAGGGCACGGGCGAATTGGTGGACCAGGCGGTCGGTGGAGTCGCCATAGGGGGAGGCGGTGGCCAAGAGGAGCGAACCGGTGTGCCGCGCCGCCGGGAGGTCGCCGCGGTGGACAAGCTCGGCGCAGCTGACGAGGAGCTGGCGCACAGGGGCGGAAGGGGAGATCAGGCCATGCTGGGAGTTAGGGTGGACGGGATTGGAATGGCGGTGGTGTTCTTGATCTCCTTCTTCATGGGACTTGAGTGAGCTAAGCATATCTAAAGCCTCAACAAGCGGCGGGGGGGAGGAGCGAAGGGCAGCGGAGGAGTACCTGTTGGAGTGAGGAGGAGAAGAGAGCAGTAGCAGCTGAGGAGGGAGAGAGATTGGAGGGTTTGGCATCCCTTTGCTTTAATAGGACATCTGGGAACGCAGCAGCTTCCTTGACAGGACATGATCTGCAAAGAACACAGCAAGTGTGGGGATTGATAGTTGCAGTAGTTTTAGTAGTAGTAGTAGTGGTAGCTACTTAGATTGAAGTAGGGAGTGGCAGCTCCTCTGTGTAGTCTCACTGTTCACCAAGCCCCATCTCAGATCTCTCTCTCTCTCTCTCTCTCTGTTTGTAAGGGGGGGGTGACAGTGTGGCAGGGGTGGGGAAAAGTTTATGCTTTTCTTGTCTTATATTACATGGACTTTGGTGCCTTGAGCTGGGAGCTGATTTGTTGTCAGCTTAGGAATGATGAAGGGGCTAAATGAGAAGGGTAGGAATCTAAAACATTCTGAAAGTTCGGTGGGGGAATATTAGGATAAGAATATGATGAACGAGATGGAGGCATGCAGTGAAGGAAGGAGAAGAAGAGAGAGAGAGAGAGAGAGAGGAAATGAAGTCGGGGAGGGCGATGCTTAGTCCATGCATTAAAAGCGTGTGCGTGAAAGGTAGGAGCCCTAAGTGAGTGTGGCGACTTAAAAAGACTCAGAGAACTAAAAGATGCTCTTGGATCATGACTGAGACCCAGAGAGGGGGAGGAGGAGGAGGAGGGGAGCGTCGAGAGATCCACTCCTAAACAGTACCACCAATTCCTCTCTCTCTCTCTCTCTCTCTCTCTCT